ATATATTCTGTCTGCATGACAGTCAGGGCGTGTATGAAAATGAGGTATCTGCTTTTGTTGGGGATGGTGTAACTATTCCAATTGTCAAGGAAAGAGATGTTATAGAGGAAATCAGTGCTCTTAAACCTAAAAAGGTTCCGGGATTTGACCAAATAACGGCCGATATCTTGAAAAACTTATACAAAAGGGGTATAACGATGTATACGTGCCTAATAAATGCGTGTATGAGGTTTAATTACGTGTCTGACATTTGGAAAGTTGCAGAGATAATCATGCTGCACAAACGTGGCAAACCTATAGACAGGGCGACTTCTTATAGACCAATCTTATTGTTCTTATTGTTGAATAACTGACCTAATAGAAAATTCACTGGAAGAAAAAATAATATATTATATCATACTTTTGGACGTACCCCATGCCTTCGATAAGGTTTGGCATTGTGGATTAATAAAAAAACTTAGGCTATTGCTACTGAGGCAGTATGTTGACCTGCTCGAATCCTTTCTGACTAATAGGGTATTTCGAGGAAAACAGGAAGAGCAGTACTCTTCGCTTAGGGATATCACGATTCTAAGTGTCAAAGATGAAATTAAAAAGCAAGTAACCAATCATAAAATGCGTTTATCCAATCATGTCAACATCAAGGCGGTTCGAATGGTTGACAATCAAAATTTTGTTAGGAGACTTAAACGTACGAGACTTTTCGAGTTAGTTTCATGTTTTTTTCTGGAACAATGAGTACTTAGTATGCTATTGTGCCAGATCAAAAGCTTGTAAATAGTCAAAAATTTTAGAGCAAAATTAATGGTTAGTCGTTTCCGACTAGTTTTATAATTTATTTTAAGGAGGGTGTTTTTTAGTGGATTAGAGTTCCACAATACTGCTTTTCGTCTGGCAGTGTCTTTCGAGATTTTTCACCCTTCCTCTGGGTAAAGAAAAAAAAATATAGTTACAGCTTTCCTCGAAATTATGGAATATAAAAAGAAACCAAAATATAAAAAGAACTTTTGTGGTAAAATTTGTTTAACGCCAGATGCTTTACCTAATTGGTATGTGTTAAATATTTTTTTTAAATGTGAATTGTTTTGTTAATATTTTGGTTTACAGAGTAAACGGTCAACAAAGAATATATAATAGCAGACGCACCGCCGTTGAATACAGTAAAATAAAACATTAATGCGAAATATTTATAAAATATATTGTTTTAGCCTGAATAAGTATGTGAAGCTCAATTAGTTAATGCGAAAGTATATGACAATATAAAATTTGTCAATAATACTATATAGTTTCGGAGACATTTCGTATTAAAAATTCAGCAACGCAACATTGCATCCGAAGTGCAACAACGTCCCACATGGACAAAAGTTTTGCTAATATCATCGCTTTCAATAATAAAGTTCGGAGTAGGTATTGGGTGTCTTTGTGCTGGGAAAAAATCAGCCCATATCGCACGCCCCACTTTCACTTTCTTATTTCCTGGTATAGGTAGATGACCTGTTAAAGTGTGTCATGACCTGTATAACGGGTCGTTTATTTCCTCGGGTCGGAATGTAGGTAGCTGAGGTGGCCGCCAGGTCAAGGAACTATAAAGTAGATCAAAGGTTGCAAAGCAAGTTGTTTACTTGTCCGAGTTCAGCGCACTTGAGACTTTGCATGATTTGCTTACATGTGAGTTTCCTTTGCCGGAGTTGTCCAGCAGATAATTTAAATTAGATATTTTAAAAATAATATTAGGTAATCAGAAATTGTTTTTGTTTTTACTATGCATAATTAAGAAATAGCAGGAATGTCTAACTGCTTACTTTTGCATAAGAAAAACAAGATGCATAAAATTTGTTGTTGATGCAAATAGTTGCGTTGAAAATAAAAACAAATTCTTGTTTTCATTTTCTTTGATCGTACTTAAATACAAAAAAAAAAAAAACTGGTTAATCAAAAAAGTCTAGTTGTTAATACATTACGCATTTGTATTTTTCTTAAAGTAGAATGTTCTATAGAACGTATATACCTATAAATTACAAAACACATTTTTTTTTTCACTTTTTCTTTAATATAATTACATATAGTACATATTTGTTCTTGGAATCTTTCTTTAAATATTTTTTTTCGGTGACTACAGGTTAGAATTGCAGATATCACTGGTCCAAGTATTTGTATACGTCTTTGAAACCGGTTCCCATCTCGTGCAAGTTTTTCGTATATTCCTTTTCGAGCAATTCTATAAGCAAAATCCCATGCATACATATAATGAATTTTTAATTTCAAGTTAAAGTGAACTTTTGTTTTCATATTTTTATTATGTAGTTAATTCAGTATTTTTTCCTTTATCAAATGTATGTAAATGTTCATTGCGTTTTTTACAGCACATCTTAATTTTTTAATTCCATTATGTGCAGCAATAGGGCATAAAGACTTATTGTTTTCAATTTGTAATAATGAAGGCATACTTTCAGTTAAATCCTCTATTTTGGAGTTGTCAATGAACTGTTGTAAGAATACCTTTTCTTGAATGCCCTTTACATAAATCTTTTCAGCTGATTGTAAAATTTGCTTAATAATATGTGGTACTTGTGAATATTCTATATTTCCGCTATTCCACTTTAATCCATTTATATTATCTTCACAATATTGAACATTATATTTTGATTTTTGGGTAAGTTCGCGTTCAGAGTATGGAGATTTAAAATAATACACCATGGGGATCATTCTTCCTTTTTCAAGTAAAGCTAATTCTTTTACAAAATAATGTTTTTCATTTCCTTGTACAAATTGAAGGTCGACAATAAAAATCTGTCCGCTCATATTGAAAACAAGTGCTTGTCCTCAATGAAAGTTTAAATGAAAATAAAAGTACTGAAGAGGTTACTAGGTTTATATAATATTTTGACCAATTGACATGTTATATGTTATAAATATATGTAGGTTACAAGATCAATTTTTATTTTCATTATGTTTTTTCACCCATTTACAATGCAATCTTAATAAAAAAATAACGAATCAACTAAGGAAGTATAAAAAAGAGTTACGGGCGATAACCTCTAATAAAATATCTATATATAATAAACGAAAAATAATTATTCAAAAAGGGGGATTTTTACGAAGCCTTCTCGGAGCCATATTGTCTGGAATAATAGGACGTTTCTTAAAATGAATAGCGCAATATTTAATAAAATAGTAATAATAAAACCTGAAATTTATGAAAAACTAAAACGAAATTCTGATGTCGAGCTAAATGAGTTAAATAAAAAGGTGAAAAATATTCTACTGAATAAAAATTTGACTGATATCCAAAAGTGGTATTTATATCGTCAAAACCTGTTTAAAGTCAGGAGCAAAAGTAGAACTGTTCCCCAAAACATTACAGCACAGTCGTACGAGCCCAAACTTACGGAAACAAAGAGTACTCAAACTCGTCCAAAAACTGCTTTTAAAAACACAGACACCCAAACGAATTTTGTGGAATTTAAGGATGCTTAAATACAGTTCCCCGAGGAGGAAATATTCGAAAAAGACCCAGACGATGTATGAGACGATAATGAATTGCATGAAAATGTTTTTACGACAGCGCTTTCTGCTGCATCAGCTGGTGAACGTCTTAGAAAACGTAAGTCTATCAGAAATCAAAATTTTCAGATGTATGAAACAGAAAATGGAGATATTATAACAGTTCCTTTAGACAGTCTTAGTCTCCCTCTGAAAAAAGAAAAAACCATAAATATCAAAAACTTAAGGAATTCTTAAAGACGTGTTTTACGATCTGCTAAAACAGGTGACACACAAACACAGCTTGATTTTCCCATACGTAAAAGCAAATCGACAAGCACATGGACAACTTACCGGTAAATGATGAATTTTATGTAACTTTACTAAGTGACTCGTCCATTAACTACTATCCTGAAAACACATTGGCAGCTTTTACTAATAAATTAAATAAATAATTTGCCCTTGATGAAAAATGGAAAGTTGGAATTTCACAAGTGTATGTAAATTGTTATGTATCATCCATTTGCGGAGAAAACGACGAAAAAAGAATTGCAATTACGATTGGAAGTACAGAAAAAAAATATGAAAACATAGGTACAACTTATATTCTATATAGGAAAGAACAACTCAATTGTGATTGGAAAACTTTGGTTTTACCTACACTCATACAAAATATAGAACCGGATGCAGGATATACAAAAAAGGAATGTGAGCGTCAACTTATATGGCAAATTTTTGATTATATTTCAAGGAACTCAAGTTACACAAAATTTGGAGAACCAACTGAATACACTAGTGAAGTGGTTAAAATATGTGTCAGCGATCCAGAAGTTGACATAAAAATAGGTGTAAAACCCAATTGGTCAATTGATGTTTTTATCAAAGAATGTTTTAATTAAATTTTAATAAAATACCCCGATTTTAAAAAATATAAAGACAGAATTGGGCAATTGTACAAGTCTTATTTAGAAACCTTATATTTTATACCAGCAAATAAATCATTGTATACAGTGACATTATAGAACCACAAATTGTCGGTGACAATACTTTGAGGTGTTTACGAACAATAATAATAAAGAATACATACGAAAATAATTTTTTTGAATTTAAAAATATTCATTATTTTCCAGTTGAAAATAAATTTTTTGATAATATTTCTATTATGTTATGTGATAAATATGGTAAACAAATAAATTTTTCCAATAGTAATATTCCTACAAAAATTGTATTACATTTCAAAAAAGTATAAATTCAAAAAAGGTATTAAGGCCCCTTACTTCATTCTGCCCTTGCCTATCAAAGAGGTCGAGGATTGGGAAGTTTTTTTGGGGGCTTTTTAAATATTTGAAACCTTTGTTTGTCTCCGGAGCTAATATATTGAAAAATGAAGCAATTAATTCCAGTATGAATGCTCTATCTGATATTGCAACTGGAGCAAATATAAGAGAAGTAGTTCAGGATCGGATAAAGAAATTTTAAAAAATGTGAGACGTGGAGCAGTTCGTAAATTAAACGAAATGTATGGATCTGGAAAAAGAAAAAGAAAAACTATAAAAAGGCACCTCATTAAAAAATCGACTATTTTGCTTCAAAGCGACGAAAAGTTAATAGCAAAAAAAAAGTTGATATTTTTGATTAATTATGATTGAATGTATGAAATCAGAATTGGATATTTTTAGAACAAAGCTAATTCAATCTAGTATTTTAAGATCTGAAGAAGTTTCATACAATCCTATTGCTTCTTTAGATAATCCATCAACTATTGAATTTGTCTCATTAGGTCATGGTGATACATACAGAGATTTATCTTCTACATATCTTAGATTAAAGGTAAAAATTGTTAAAAAAGCTGGAAACTATTGGAATAACGACAAAGGTGCGGACGGAAAAACATTGCCCCAACCAAGTGTAGTGAATAATCTTCTACACTCAATATTAAAACAGTGTAATGTTCAATTTAACGGAAAAAGTATTATAAGATGGAAAGTAAGTATAAGATGGTAATTATCATTACAGAGCATACATTGAATCATTATTAAATTATGGTACGGATGCCGCTACTACTCATTTAGAGTGTGCTGTATGGTGTTTAGATAAACCAAACATAGCAAAACCAGATAATAATGGATCAAAAGAACGTCAAAAACTTTACCACAACAGCAATATCGCAGAGCTAATGGGTAAACTACATTTGGATATGTTTAACCAACCGACTCTTTTAATAAACAACGTTGATGTGAGAATATTACTTTAACACTTGAAAAACCAGATTTTTATATTTTTGCAGGCGACGCTGATGAATCTCAGTTAAAAATTTTGGAAGCTACATTATTTATGAAGCACGTAACAATAAACCCAAGTGTGCTACTAACCCATAATGCTGTTCTAGAAAAATCTAATGCCAAGTACAATTACAAGCATGTTGAAGTAAAAAGTTTTACAATTCCTCCTAATACATCAACTATTTCACTTGATAATGTCTGCATTGGTCAATTACCCAACACCATATTTTTTTGCCTTACAGAAAATGTTGGCTACTCTGGAAAAAGATCAAAAGATCCATATAATTTTCGACATTTTGATATGTCCCAGTTTGTATTGTATGTAAATGGTGTACAAGTACCAAACACAGCAATTGAAACAAGTTTTTCAGATGAAAATAATTGTCATACTCGTGCATACCATATACTTTTTTCTGGTACAGGAATTTATCATAATGACAAAGGACATCAAATATCAAAATCTATGTTTAGTAGTGGATTTTTCATCTTGGCTTTCGATTTGACACCAGATGCATCAGGAAATGAGATATGTCAGGGTCTATTTAATCAAGGTACAATTAGAATTGAGGCAAGGTTATCTAAAGCGCAATCATCTGTATTGACTGCTATTGTCTATGGAGAATTTGATGCAAGTGTTGAAATTGACAAAAATAGAAATATTTTCACAAACCTATAAATAGAACATTTGCATAAATGGTTTTAATACTCAAGATGATGTCATCGTCTTATGCACTTGTTGATATAACGTTTTGTTGTGACGACAAGAATACTTTATTCGTAAAAGATATTTGCTTAGTTGGGATTCAAGAAAAATGCAAAAAAATTGTAAAGGAGTTTTCTTACAAATTTCCAACTAAGGAACTAATATACATATGAAAATTTTGAAAACTATTCGTTTGGAACTTTGATTAATGACAATATAATCTATGAACTTAAAGAAATATTAAAAAAATTCAATGTGATATTGACTGACGGAAAAATCAGAAAAGATTTCATTTCGTATTACATTAAAGAAAACAGTACAGTTTATGATTTAAGTGAAGTAAATTTATGAATACTTTAGATATTATAAAATATTTAAATTGCAATAAATATACAAGAAAAAAATTTAGAGGTGTATTTGCTTTAGATCAAATACCAAAAAACCTTGAAAGATCTTCCTTTATAATTATAAATACTGATAAAGCAAAAGACCCTGGCGAACATTGGTTAGCCATATATATATTCCAAAATATGGTTGTGTTGAATACTTTGATTCTTATGGAGGTTTACCAAATAAAAAGGAAATTTTAAGTTTTTTAAAAGATAAATGTATTGTTTTCAATGACAAACAATTACAAAGCACCTTTTCAGAAGTTTGTGGAGAATACTGTTGCGTGTATGCATAGTATAGATGTTTTGGTATAAGTATGAATAATTTTTTACGTAAATTTAAGAAACGCAACCATATTAAAAATGATAAAATAGTTTTAAGAAAATTTCACAAAATATTTGGAAAGCAGAATATTCAGACATGTGTTTCTAGAAATCATGTTATATAAAAGATGAAATGTCTCAATTAAAATGCAGTTTAAAAACAGATAGCTAGATCAGCACTACTTAATCATTGTTTCTTAAAACATGTTGTTGGCGTATGCTTATTTTTTAAACAAAACACATACTGTAAAAGTAGTAATAGGATTCCACGTAGAATTATTAGAAGCAACCATTTCAATATACCGTATTGGAAAAAAAGAAATTTTTATAAATTATGAAATAATTTATAAAAATTTGAATTTATGAAAGTATTATTTTTTATACTTATGAAAGTATAAAAAAAAATTTATAAATAACAGGGTCTCTTGTCTACAATTTGGAATGAAAACAAAAAATTTACAAACTTTCGTGTTAAGGACCGAAGAGATGGATGAATTTCATATCCTTATTGATTTTATTCATTTGGTAATGGATTACAACCACAAGGCTGAAGAAGGTGTAAAAGACTATGTAAGGAAATATATAAGACAATGTGTAGAAAACAATGAAATCATACTAAAAAGTGAAATTTATATACCATTAGATCGATTTAACTTTCAATGTAATTATTCTAGATTGTTTTATGAAATTCCGTTTTTACTTAAAAATAAGATAAAAAAATATTTAGAAATAAATAAAAGCACTATGCTACTAGACTAATATGTTACTTGTATTTTATTTTATTTTTTCTTTTATTTACATTATTTTTGTGTTATTTAAAACATGAGTAATTGTAAAAATAATAAAAAGCAAACATAAAGATACCATATACAGTATAAGACATTTATAGCAATTCCAGCAAAATGAATTTGGTATCTGAATTATTTCTTCTTCCTTATTGAACATAATTGAAACCCCATCCCCTCTTGGTGATTGAGTATCCATTTTATTTCTTTAGTAAAACTGGAAAATTCGTTACAGTTATGCTGCTACGATTATAAATTGATGTATACTAAAGTTTTTTTATTTAAATCATGCTTAAATATAAAAATACTGACTTTGTTCATTTTATTGAGCTGCAACGGCTTCTATAAATAATCGAATCCTTTTTATTTTTCTTATTTTAAAAATGGATGTCAACGAGTTTTTAAATGTATATGATTCTATTATTTTGGAAGAACATAAAAATCAAATTTTATATTTAAACAATTACTTAAAAACATTTAAACACAAATTACAATTAATTAGTTCGGTACACGGAAGTAATTTTACTATTTGCCCTTGGGCGTACGACGATACTACATCTGGACCAGATACTTGTAAATGCTATACAATAAAAAAATACAAAATTAAAGTTGCAAAATTGATTGACTGGTATAAAAAAAATGTCAAAATCTCAAATAGTATCGGAGATACATAGACCAGCTAGAAAACGATATCTCAGAAGAAAATTCAAGCAAAAGGGAATAAATGATACGTGGCAAATAGATTTAGTTGAAATGATACCCTACGCTAAATTTAATAGAGGATATAAATACATGTTAACAGCTATAGATATATTTTCAAAATACGCTTACGCAGAACCTGTAAAAACAAAAAATGCTGAAAACGTTTTAAACTCTTTAAAATTAATAATTAAAAGATCAAAATCAATTCCCAAAAATATTCAATCTGACGAAGGCAAGGAGTTTTTTAATTCAAAACTCCAAAATTATATGAAAGAAAAAGCAATTAATCATTATCACACATTCAGCGAAATGAAAGCATCAATTGTCGAAAGATTTAATAGAATATTAAAAAATATGATGTGGAAAACCTTTAGTTTAAATGGAAATTATAAATGGTTACATATTTTATCATCATTAATACAGAAGTATAATTCAACAAAACATAAGAAAATAAAAATTTCGCCTGAAGAAGTTACAAAGAAAAATGAACAATCTATGTATATAGAACCTAAAATTTTTCAAAAAAGTAAATATAAAATTGGTGATTATGTAAGGATAAATAAATACAAAAAGCATTTTGAAAAAGGTTATTAACCTAACTGGTCTACTGAGATTTTTAAAATCGCTAAAGTAAATAAAACATATCCCATTACATATCAATTAGTTGACTACAAAGACAATACTATTTCTGGTGGTTTCTATAAGGAAGAACTTACTCCTGTTAAATATCCTGATGCTTACCTAGTAGAAATAATTATTAAAAAACAGAGAAATAAAGTTTTCGTAAAATGGTTGGGGTTCAGCGACGATCATAATACATGGATCAATAAAGATAGTATTATTTAAAACATAGTACGTATTATATACATACATAGTTTTATTTTTCGACCTTTGTATAATAATAAAAATTTGAGAAAGAAATTCTTTTGTTTGTTTTTTTTTTTTTTTATTTTTTAGTTTATTTTTATATTTTTATTTTACAATTTTAGGTTTTTTTTAACCTCTTATATCCGTAAGGACGGGAGCTACTATCTACATCAAAGTTGCGTTTTTCTGATTTCGGTTGATATACTTTTATTTACGGAACCGTTAGTACTTTGTGTTCTTTGTTGCGCCCAATATTTTGTGATAATATATAAATTTCGTTGTCTGCTTTCGGGTTTAACACAGATTCTTTGATTGTGTTAAAATTAATTTTTTGGTAAGCTTCATAATTTAAACAAAAACCCTTAACTTTACATATAATTTTTTCTTCTTTATCTTTTGTACTATATACTTTAAATGAGTAATTTTTTGGGCCACCGGTTACAAATTCTGTTATGTAGCTATCTTTACCATAACATTCTAACTCATCTGTCATGTCACCAATAAAATCTCCTACTGAAGGTTCATAGTCCCCTTCACGACTGATATACACTACGGAATCAGTATCGTAATATAAGACTCTTTATTGAAGTTTTTCTAAGTAACTGTACAGTTTTAATCGCGCCTGAGTTGTTGTGTAAGCAGCAATACACACATTAACTGTTGGTAAGGATTCCATTACTTCTTCCTTGTACTGCCAATTAAGTATAATGTTTTCTTCATTTACCGGAAAAATATAACAAACTTCTATAGATGGGTTTGTTAACAGGTTGTACAATTCTCTAGGCTGGATAATGATTGATGTTTTTTGTAAATTTTCTCTTTGACCAAATTTGCCCCAAAATGAATTTAACATTAATTTGGCAAATGATCTTAAGCCAGGATTGCTGGAAACCTTTTCATGCTCCAATTGAATATCTTCTTTATCAAAAAAATCTTTAACTTAGTTTTCTTTTTCGTTATTAGTGACACATTTAGATGGCCAGCCTGAAGCTTCTTGTTTAATTTTAATAAATTTGTTCATCATACTTGTAAATAAGCCCTGTGTATCCATGTTTTTATCATATTTTGCAGTTTGGTATTCCCAAACTTCATAAATTTCTAACATTTTATAACCTTTTTGAATAGCTTTTACAACTTCGTCAATTACCCATGCTCCTATTAAAGCTCTTTCCTCATCTGAATGTGGACAACATTCTTCAAGCCATTTTTCTTCACTACAACTTCGACATAATGAAAACATTTTAACATTTTTTCTTAAATATAAAATTTTACATTTAAGAATTCCGTCCATGTTATTTAGTTTCAGAGTAGAACAAATACTTTCCCCGACATAAATTTGCGGGTGACCAATAGGAAATTTTCCGTACTTGCAAACCCAAGGGTATAACGAGCAAATGTCTGTATATTTTATTTTTTCTTCCTCTTTACATTTATAATAGTTGTAGACATTTCCTGTTCGTCCTCCATAAAAAGCATCTCGAGGATTCAATGGTGCACGTTGCACTAACGGATGATTTTTTAAATAACTTGCTTCTTCTTTACTAATTAATGAATTAAATTCACATTGCCACATTTCAATAACATCGTAACCTAATTTTTGTAATCTTTCAGCTTTTTTAATAGTTTTTTCATACCTCGTGTTCATTGTATCATTTGAATCGTCTTGCAAACTTTTATTTCGGTTATGTGGTATACAAGTAGGGTGTCCATGATAATAACAACTGTAAAATTCAAAAACTTGATTAGTTTCTGAACAAAAACCGTCTACTTTTATACCGTTAACAAATGATTCTTTCTGTTTTGCTGTATGTCTGATGTTAATATTTCTTTTTTCTTCTTCCCATACTAACCATTGAATAGCCACTTTTGATTGATTGTCTGAGTTTCTGTATCCATGTTTAGGAAT